ATATATATAATATATATATATATATGTATTGTATATATATGTATATTATATATATTATTATATATATATATATATATATATATATATGTATATATATATATGTATATATATGTATAATATGTATATATATATATATATATATATATATATTATATATATATATATATATATATATATGTATATATAAGTATATATATGTATATATATGTATATATATATATATATATATATATATATATATATATATATATATATATATATATATAAACACACACACACATGTATATATAAACATATATCTATCTTTATGTATAGACATACTCTGTTCAGTTGCTATTCATTCCACTGAAGTAGCCATGCCTCTCTCGATTCATTATTGAGAGACTTATACGGCAGTGCCATATTGGATGATTGGATGTCCGTCCTAATCAGGTCCTGGGGCCGGATTCTCAAAAGAGCCCCAAGTCAAGGCGCGCTGGAGGCCTTAACCGTCCTGCTGTATTTCCCTTGTATAAGTTTTTTGACTTCCCGCCCGCCGTAAAGCGATAAAGGCTGCAACAGGGACAACGAAGCGAAGAACAAGAAAACACGAATATACCTTTGTTCTTCCCTTCGTTGTTCCTGTTGCAATTTGTTCGACATGAATTCCATCCATGTATATGTATACATATATGCATATGCATGAACACAGGCTATATACTTATATGTATATACATATATACATCATGTATTCATGTACACTAAAATTCACGATGTACATGCAAGTCCGTATGTATGTATATGTATATATACTTGAACCTTCTTGGTCTGATCAATGCTGAGCAACATTTTAGTTTGCCTGAAAAGCCTCTGAGTAACAGCGATAACAATGAGCAGATTGATTACCCGGCGTGACTGTTCTTACTTCCCCTCCCCCTCTCTCTTTCAAATCGGATTCAGATGTATTTCAGTCATATATTTCACTATTCATTAATGATCTTGAACGGCCTCATGTTTATATTTTGTGGGGAAAACTATTTTAAAATCCATTCAGCGATTGAATTGAAAGATAAAAAGTATGTCAATCTAGTGACAGCGGAGTGAAGATGTAAAGCTATTTAAACTCCTTACATTCATTCATACTGATCGTTCGTTTATCGGTAAACTGTAAGAAAAATACGCATCTTTTTCATTACTTTTGACGTAAGTGTATATTCACATGATGGTGTTAACGAAATGTCTCGACTAGGGTTTCCTTCCTCATTCACTGGAATTGGCCATTACATTAAAAAAAAAAAAAAAAAAAAATCACTGGAATTGATGGGTAATTACTTGTTTGTCTCTGTAAATGTATTAGAGCTTATAAGTTATCTTTTGAATTCATTTGCATAATTCCTTAACTTCTAATCAGTTTTATTTCGGTAAAATCATTGTACCGATTGGTGATGCGTTCAGTGAGATTTTATGTTAACAGAACAATTTATATTGCATTTATTTATTCATTATATATTTCATTTACTCTATTTCGTTTTTTTTTCGAGTATTAATAGGTATTTACCCTGATCCTCAAACGGCGGGCATTTCAAGATTTCCCTGAAACTTGCAACGTGTTACCTGCTCGAAGTCTTATATAGATGAAGATGCGTGACCGTTTTATTCAGAATGACGGATTTCCCCTTCTTTTGCCTTGCGTATCTATCGCATGCTAAAAAAAGACATCAAAGACAGGCAAACTATTTGGTAATACATTTTCCCGTTAATTTTATACCTGTGACATCTTTGCTAGTGCCCGCCGATCATGGATATGCTTTAGTGAATTTCTTGTGTGGAGGTTGGAGAGGGGATCCAGTCCAAAATCTTATACTCGAATTAATTTACTAATTAAATCCATTTTTATTTCCAATGAAATCATGTGAAAGACGATCTTCCCGTTCTCCGGCCGTAGGATTTGGCCGTGTTATTCGACAAGTAGAATGAATGTTTGGTCATTATTTTCACGGACTCTAACCCAGTCAATTCCCGACTTCAACGGTCAAAAATATTATTATAATTGGCGTACCAGATACGACTATGAAGCTGGCTGGGGTTTCATCATGTTTGTATTTTATTTACTTTTCTCGTGTTGGTGCGTCCGCGAGCTCACCGGATGAGGACCAGGCGAGGCTTGAGAATGTGTTCAGCGAGGCCTGCTAGTACATCCTGGTAATGAAGTGCGTTGGGGTCATTCTGCCGGCCTTTTGGGATCTTGGTTTTCATAGAGCACCCTGCCGGTTCTATCATGCAACGACACAGAACGCCTGCATTTGCACAACTTCCGATAAGATGGTGACACTTTCTAAAATAAAGTTATATGTGAGCGTCTAGCTGTCCGTAGTTCCGCTCCCTAGTTAGTTTTAAACCTGGCCGACACGAAACTGGGCGCCCTTTAAATAATCCGTGTATACAAGGGAGGAGAGATAGGGGGAGAAAGAAAGAGAGAGAGAAAGAAAGGGAGGGAGGGAGAAGAGAGGAAGAAGAGAGA